GATTTCCCATTTAATATTTTCAAACTGCAATTGATGCTGTGTAGCTAAAATCTCAGAGCAAAACTGCCTGCAAAGAAGGAGACTTGTTCTTATCATTGCAAATCATCTGTTTTTACTAAATATTAGCAAGCTATTAAATCCATAAAATATCTTTTTCTTAAATCTTACTTATTTTGATTATTATCATTTTATGATACAATTCCATAGGCCCTGGTATTTCCCTTAACCTCTCCCAAATTGTCTACCCCCTCACTGAGTTCCCCTACATCATTACTATACTATAGTTCTTCATACGCACAGTCATACGTCCATCATAGTGGGCATGGACAATGGCAGAGAGTCCAGCATGCTATTGTCCAGGTATAGCAAACAGTTTCATTGAGAGTCCATCTTTGTCTGGAAGTGGAGATGCATACTGCATTGTATTCTCAGATCTGGATGTGATAGTCTCAATTATACAGTTACTATTCATCCCCTTAAATGAAAAACCACAATACAAAATAGACAACAGAAAGAAAAATAGAAATTTACAATGTAATGAAGTTAAATAACATGCTGCTAGATATGCTAATCTCCATTAAACAGTTACTAGACATCCCCTTAAATTAAAAGCCACAAAACAAAATAAACAGGAAGAAAAAAAAAGAAATTAACAACACCATAAAGTTAAATAACATGCTACTGAATGACTAATGTGTCACTGAAGAAATGAAAAAGCAAATCATGAAACTACTTGATGAAAATTATGCTTCTGTATGATCTATGAGTCACTGAAAAATTTAATCAGAGGTGTTTTGAAAAGATGAAACTAACAGAAAAACATCAAAATCCATGAGATATAGTTTCTGCTAATCTTAAAATTCGGTCTTATTATACTGTTTTAATTTACTTATTTTTATTGGAAAGGCAGCGAGAAGAAGGAGGAAGAGAAGAAGAAAAAGAGAGAGGAAAGAGAAAGAGACAGAGACATTTCTATCTACTGGTTCTTCCTCAAATGAATGCAATATACATTGGTAATTCAATCTGAAGACAGCAGCCAAGAGCTTCTTCTGGATTTCCCACATGGATGCAGGGGCCCAATGACTTAAGCCATCCTCTGCTGCTTTTTCCAGGCCTTAGCAGAGAGCCAGTTCAGAAGCAGAGCAGTCAGGACTAGAACTGGTACCCAGTTCAAACGCCAGTGCTACAAGCAGAGGATTAGCATGCTATACAGCTATGCCAATCCATGTTTTATCATAATTAAAAAACATTCTTGAATGGGGCAAACATCAGGGCAAAGCTGGTTAAGTCATGATTTCTGATACCAGTTTCCAATACCATAGTGCTAGTTTGAGTACTGGATGGTCCACTTCCAGTCTAGCTCCTTGCTAAAGCACCTGAGAAAGCAGCAGATAAATCAAGTGTTTAGACTCCAGCCACGTGCATGGGAGACCCAGATGGATTTTCTGACTTCTGACTTCAGTCTGGCTATCTTTTGCCATTGTAGTCATTTGAGGAGTAAACCAGCAAATGGAAGATCTTTTTCTGTCCCTGACTCCCTATTACTTTGTCTTCCAAATACATAAATAAGTAAATCTTTTTTTTTAAGATTTACTTTTATTATTTTTTAATTGGAAAAGCAGATATACAGAGAGGAGAGACAGAGAGGAAGATCTTCCGTCCGATGAGTCACTCCCCAAGTGAGCACAATGGTCGATGCTATGCTGATCCGAAGCCAGGAGCCTCTTCCGGGTCTCCTACGTGGGTGCAGGGTCCCAAAGCTTTGGGCCGTCCTTGACTGCTTTCCCAGGCCACAGGCAGGGAGCTGGAAGGGAACCTGGGCTGCCGGGATAGAACTGGCACCCATATGGGATCCCGGGCGTGCAAGGTGAGGATCTCAACCACTGCGCCACCACGCTGGGCCCATAAATAAGTAAATCTTTAAATAAAATAGTTGGGGTCCAGTGTGATGGCTCAGTGGTTAAATCCTAGCCTTACAGGTGACGCCCTTGGATCCCATATGGGTGCCAGTTCATTTCCCAGCTGCTCCACTTCCATTGCAGCACCCTACTTATGATCTAGGATATCAGTGGAAAATGGTACAAAGCCTTGGGACCCTCCACTCATGTTGGAGACCTGGAAGAAGCTCCTGGCTCATATCTTCAATCAACTCAGCTCCAGCCATGGCGGCCACTTGGAGAGTGGATCAGCAGACAGAAGATCTTTCTCTCTGTATCTCTTTCTCTCTGGAAATCTGCCTTTATGATAAAAATAGATAAATCTTTAATAGATAAGTATAATAACTTGGATAAATAAAAATGACTATAATAACTTTGGAAACAAATTTAAAGTTGTTTTGTAAAGATTCACATCTGTTCTCCAGATATTTTACATGAAGAAATTGTTTTTTAAGCTGTATACACATGCATGACATATATTCACATAAATACATGTATATGTATATTTTGCATATTTCCAAATTTGCTTCATTTTAAGGAAAAAGATATGAGTACTAAATATACACACCAATTAATATTTAAAAACTATTTAAAGGAGCACTATTCATAAAAAAATGTGCACATGAAAAAGAATCCTGGAAAATTGCCTGTCTACTAATAGGATAATGGTCAATATGGTGTAGTATAACTGAAAAAAATGTAAAATACCATTACATGCCACAGCTTGGGAGCAATTTATGTACATAATGTTAATGAAAGAAAATCTGGTTCATGAATTTTATATCCACAGTAATGATTTTGCTTGGGAGATTCTAATTGCCTGAAGAGTGAAAAGGGATGGGGCTTGTACAATGCCACCACCACAGGCTAATTCTCTGTAGTGCCAGCTCCCCATACAAGACTGGTTCATGTTCCAGCTGCTCCACTTTTAACCCAGCTCCCTGCTTATGGCCTGAGAAGACAGCAAATAATGCCCCAAGTCCTGGGACCTTTTGCCTACATGAGGAACCAAGAAGAAGCTCAAAGCTACAACCTTGGGATCGTCCCAATTCTGACCATTGTGGGCATATTTAGTACTCATTTTTTACCTTCAAATGAAACAAATCTGAAAATATGCAAATTATACATGTGTATGTATATATGTGAATATATGTGATACGTGAGTATACACATTTAAAAAAGTGAAGCAGTGGATTTTACTGTCTCTCTGTAAAATCTTTCAAGTAATAATACATTTTTAAAAGGAAGAAAGCAACAAAGGGGATAGAATGTTGTCTCCTGGGTTTAGAAGAAATCGCCAACATAAGTCTGTTTTTTAAAGCAGTTTAGGAAATATCCTAATATGTGCACACATTCATTGATTTACATATACAAGAAAGAATAACACCTCAGAGCCATGTGCCTTAGCAACGCGATTTGATGCACTTGTACTAAATCCTGTGGCACAGGCAGGCCTGGAAACAGAAGATTGCTTCTAGTGTTGTGTGCTTTTTTTTGTTTTAACCTTTGTCTTTTTTTTAGCCTAAATTTATATGCACAGATAGAACTGTTTATTTTGTTTATCATCATAGCTTTGATTCTTTCCTAAAATTTCATGGCCAATTTCATTACTTACAGTCAAATAGAACACCTAAGTCTCATTATGAACTCATCATTATCACCTTTGTAAATTAATGCATCTCTAAGATCACTTCTCGGCCTTTTGGCTAAGATCAAGTGCAATATATTGCTAAGAGATCTATGTGTTGGTTCAACTTTGCAATAAAGTCTAATAGTTACATCCAGGCTTTCCAGAAGTCACAAGCCAGGAACTCCACCTGAGCATCCTATTTAGATCAAGAGCACAAATGCTTAGGCCATTATCTGCTGTCTCTAGGAGCTCAATCAAAGACAAAGTTCAAACCCTCATTGCAAGTGCCACCTTAGCTAGCTGTACCACAGTACCTAAGAGCTCACCTCTAAGAGAATACATAGATAGTATTTTCCTTACGGATGTTTGCAAAGAAGGAAAGATGCTGTTGATCCTCAACAACAGAAGCAGCAGTGACCCTATGATCTTCTACAAGATGGATACTTGCTTGTGAGATGGGGCTGATGTACCAAACACCATCAAACTAGCATGTATCACGACAGTCAACACAGTGCTCATTGTACCTGATGCCTTTTCCATCAACTACAAAAATTCTATAACTTATAAGAATAGCAACACCAGTTTTTAGAAAATGCGCAATCAAATCTAGCGTTAGTCTGGCCTTTATATTCATAAGAAAAAGTAATGACTCTTGTCTCATCCTCCAAAGGAGAAATAAAACAAAAAGCTTAGTTTCTCTGCCTTGTTTTATAAATCGGCACTTCTGACCTTTTCTTAAAACTTTCAGCATCACAAGGACATCAGTGGGAAGGGAATCATGTGCTAACCAAATAGTTAAAGGGCAGAAAAATTTCACTGATGTGAAAACGGATTAGTAGAGGGTGGAGAAGAGGACTCAGCTCCTCCCAGTTTGGGTGAGCAGATTTGGGATTACTTAACAAGCAGAAACTCACATGCAATTAACAGCTCTGACATCAAGAGAGGAGCAAACACAGACATCTCAGCTCTCCAGGAGGCTCAGCAGAACAGCTCAAGAGTTTAAGGTACTGGAAAGAAACTCCATGGGGAATGAATGACTCCTGCCCAAACTCCATTAAGATAAGGGACTTCCAATCATGGAAATTAACTTACTGGAAATTTGCTTCCAACTCTTCTTTCAGCTTCATGGATAAGTGTAATTAATGGCAGTGACCTGCTAATGAATACTCTTGATAAATGATTTGCAGGTTAAATGTGTGAGTATATATGCACATACATCTAAAATGAAGATATCTAAATGAATGTGTCCCACAATTTAATTGTTTAGGTATTGTACATGTAAAGCTTTTAAAGACAAATGACTACTTTGATTATTTGGGGTGTCATTTTACAAATATGGGATCTATTTTGAAGGTAAATCTGGAAGGGATTATGCCATTTATGAAAAGACAGAAAAGCATTTCATAATTGAATCTTGTTTTTTTTTTTTTTACAGCTGGATTTTGGTAAATATGCCTCAGTCTTCCCTATGCAAAGTACTGCAAGTCAAATTTTTGTGCTATACTCTTGCTTCAAGGAAAATGAAAGCTCAGAAATTCTTCTGTCTCCACTGTATCTTCCTTGTGCTGCTTTTCCAGCAGGCCTGGGCTCAGTTTCCAAGGGAATGTGCCACAGTTGAGGCTTTGAGAAGTGGTATGTGTTGCCCAGAACTGTCCCCTCTGTCTGGACCCTGTGGCTCATCATCAGGCAGGGGCAGGTGCATGGCAGTGACTGCAGACTCCCGTCCTCACAGTCCACAGTACCCCCATGATGGCAGAGATGATCGGGAGGGCTGGCCCACAAGGTTCTTTAATAGGACGTGCCAGTGCAATGACAACTTCTCAGGATACAACTGTGGTACTTGTCGCCCTGGATGGAGGGGAGCTGCCTGTGACCAGAGGATTCTTATAGGTAAGAGAGTGCATGAATGAGAGCACAGGGTTGTAGAAAGTTCAAATCCCTTAACAGAATCTCACATCGTTTGAGCTACTTGCACACCCGGCCATCGTCTTGCCATTTCTTTGTACAACTCTTTGCATCACCAACCATCTCTTTTTATAGCTGAGGAACAGAGGCCTGCAAAGATTTGACAACTTTTTCAATTTCAAGGGTTGGAGTGGAAGCTCAAGCTTTCTGGCTGATAACATTTCTCCCTAAATTAATGTTGTGCAACACTGTATGCCAGAAACTATACTAAGCATTTTTGGCTAGTCCTTTGATTAACTGATCAAGGTGTTTAAGTTAATATCATAGATGAGGGTCAGGAAGTTCAAGTCCATATAAGTGGTTCCTGGTATACATGAAAGTTCCATTGGCATTATATCTACCTTTAATATCTTATTTCAGCTTCTTCCACTACCCTTCATGAATCACACACACAAAAAATGTTTAACACTGTCATGATCAAATTAAAGCTTTTCAGCTGATGAACATGGCCTGAAGCCTAAATGTCATTCAATTAAACCACAAAGCAGTAAATAATGAATTCCAGAAATAATTGTTTTCTTTTGCTAGTTACTGGATGAAGGACTTAACAGAACGTTTATTGAATCACTATCATAGGCCTGGGCCCTGGTCTTATTGCTTTGGGTGTGCATGTTTGTTGATCTTTACAACTCCATAAAGCAGGTGTTATATTATCTGCACTTTGCAGTTGCAAAACTAAAGCTTAGAAAAATCCGCCTGCAGTCACACTGCATGTCTCTGATTTTAACCAAAATGATACATGACTGTCATTATTTTTGTAAGTCTTGTGGTTTTTAAAATAAATTCAAAAAGTATTCCAGTAGTGAGCAGAAATAAATGTAACAGATTGCATAAAGGTAATAGAAATCTTAGAGTGAACTGAAGAGAAGAAGAGAGATGAAGAGACAGAAAGACAGCTGGTCTGAAGGAAAGGAATTTTCCCATTTACTTTTCCAAACATCAATTGATTAAGACAGATTTGAGCGTGCATTAATGGACGTGATATGCTATAATGTGATGTTGATCATTCTATGCCCATTTGACACAAGGCAGATGTTTCATGTTTGAATTTTGTATCCTTAAAGTCAGGAGAAATATTCTGGACTTAACTTCAGAAGAAAAGAACCACTTCGTCCAGGCCCTGGATATGGCAAAGCGCACCACTCACCCTCAATTTGTCATTGCTACCAGGAGATCAGAAGAAATCTTGGGACCAGATGGCAACACACCGCAATTTGAGAACATTTCCATTTATAACTATTTTGTTTGGACACATTATTACTCAGTCAAAAAGACTTTTCTTGGTCCGGGGCAGGAAAGCTTCGGTGAAATAGATTTTTCTCATGAAGGACCAGCTTTTCTCACGTGGCACAGGTACCATTTGCTGCAGCTGGAGAGAGACATGCAGGTAAGCACAGCACATGTCCATCAGCAGATCCTTTACAGATAAGATGCCTTGTCTTCAAGTCATTTTAATTCACTGTTTTCCAAATGATCAGGACATGGTGATGATAAAGCAATTTCACCTCATTAATCTGCCTTTGTCGTTTAGCAAAGTGTCTCTCTCTTCTGATTACTTACTAATTATCTTTTGTGAAGTGAAAAGAAAGTAATATTGATGGGGAAGACAGTCAAGCTATTTTTAGGTGTGAATTAAAGGTTTTGAAATATCCTACAGCTCTGTAATTGAAAAATGACTTTCCTAAAGTTGGAAGCAAAATAGTCTCATAGGATATGCCTTTCTCCATGAACAGATGTGTGTATATAACCCTTGAACAGGTGTGCGTATAGACCCCTTGAACAGATATGAGTCTATACCCCTTGAACAGGTGTGAGTATATACCCCTTGAACAGGTGTGAGTATATACCCCTTGAACAGGTGTGCGTATATACTCTCTTGGTCTGGATGAAGTGATGGTGCAAGTGCATACCTCTTCAGGCTTCAGAGTTACAAATGCCTAATCCTACTGGATGATGGAACTTTCTGGTGCCATCTAAGATATAAGTCATAAAAACAGTTCCTTTCCATTTAGGTTGCCATCTTTCCCGTATTTCACATGATCCCTACAACTCTGAAACTTGCAAAGGAGCCATGTATAAGAACACTTCATCTCTATGTGAAATGATGACTACAACAATTTGCTTAAGTGCAGTCATCATTTCACTATGTGAGTGCAGTGCAAAATATATGCTATTCATTTTAAATATGCAAAAATATTGAAGGCCGAAAACAATCACATTCTTTGGACATCATTTTTACTTAAGACATTAACTTCTGCTGACAAGGAGCTCATCTCCTGCATTTTTACATAGTTAAGCTCAACACCTATTAAAATATTTAGTACAGGCTATTTTCCCAAATGTTCTATTTCTTCAGAAAAGTAATTTTAAAATAAAAATGGAAGTTATTGGATTTCACCCAGAATGTTACAAATTAAATCTCTTTCCTGTGTGAAATAACAGTAATGAATCTTTTCCCTCAGATTAAAATCAAAAGTAACTTCAAAAGATTTGAAGACAGAAAATGTATTCAGATTCATTTATTGATTCACAGGATGTGTGTGTCAGCAATATTACAAGGGGGTGGGGGAATGGTTAGCAGGAAGGAAATTAACGAACAAAAACAGAGTAAAATATTGGTTTGAAAGCATTCTATCCTCATGCAGTTTCAGAATGATTAAATGAATTCATCTGATACTCTGAACGTCATATTTTATAGCTTTGATCCAAGTGAGGCATTTGGTAGATTATGAGTAGATAAATCTGTCATTTGTAATCCATCTCATGCCTTTAAGCCATTTTCTCATGGGCACAGCAAGATGAAACGGCAGGTGCACAGTATCGAAAGGCTTTAATGTTGCCTGTGTAAACTCCAACCTCTATCACCTACACTTATAAAACCCAAAAGCACAAGAGATCCAACAAATTATAATCTAACTGTGACACACAGTTGAAATGCCACATGAATATGCTCTGGGTCCCAAATGCCAGTTGCTGAACCGCAAACCGACTCTTAATGATCCCCTGGAAGCTGTCACTAACTTTTGTGAACTTCAGTGATGGATTCAAAGGGACTGCAAATCCCTGGAGATCAATAACAGCCAGGAAGGCAGAGGAAGACTTTAGGCCTGGAAAACACCGAGGCTAAGGAGATGTTTCCTAGAAAGAGAAAACAATAGAAAACTACTACATGTTAGAGAGGTAAGCTAAGAGGATGGCAAACCTACACTTAGGCCAAAAGAAGCGAGAAATAGCAAGTATATTACATATGTGTTGAAAGGAACCCGGTCAAATAAGCATGTGAACATGAGTTCAGCATTTGAACAATATGTGAGACTCACTCAATGGAAACTAGGTCTCTGGCCTAAAGAACAATAGTCAAAAATGAACATTCTGCTTTCATTGAACGTTTTCTCTCTGTGTGTGTCACGAGAAAGCCTGAGTCGTAGCAGTCAGGTTCTGGAGCAGGAGCCTTTGCATAGAATGCTTTTAATGCCCAGAAAACATAAGGTGGGGATGAAGCAGTCAACATGGCCTCATGGAGAAACAGAATTTAGAGGCTAAATTTATTCAAATTAAATTTAACATCTGACACACAGCAACAGTCACTGTTTCACAAAGCACATTTCAAGGCTGGATCTGGCTCCAAGTTAAGTCAAGAATGTTTTAAAGACCAGAAAAATTGAAGAAGGCAAAAATATTAAGGAGAGCATAACGCCATACTTAATTTTTGGTATAGCCAATAGAAACTGCTGACCTGAAAAATGGACTTTATACTTTTGTTACATGAGGTGTTTAGAGCCTCCCTTAGTGCCTCCGATGCTGGCCATGCACTTACTGGCTCCTTGCAGGTAGGAAGCCAAGCGAAGAGGCAGCAAGTACGAGCTGAGAATACTAACAGAGTTTCTGTGCTCTAGGAAATGTTGCAAGAACCTTCATTCTCCCTTCCTTACTGGAATTTTGCAACTGGCAAAAATGTATGTGATATCTGTACCGATGACATGATGGGGTCGAGAAGCAACTTTGACTCCACTCTTATAAGCCCAAACTCCGTCTTCTCTCAATGGCGAGTGGTCTGTGAATCCTTGGAAGATTATGATACCCTGGGAACACTTTGTAACAGTAAGTTTCAACAGCAATTCCAAACTAGGAACCCGAATTTCATATTTAAAAGATTAAATGAACTGCATGGAAAGTCCTGAACTCTACCGGGGACTTGATACTAAAACCTACTTTTATTTCAAGGAATTAGTGCGTAGCAATTCACTGAACACTTAGAATTTTCAAGGCAATCTGTACAGTGCTTCAGGGCTTACAGAAAGTGCCTACATTTTTCCTTAAACTTTTCTTGAGTAATTTGGTCTGTGCATTGCCGAATTCCTTAGCTTGGAAAAGTCTGGTTGTGGAACTTAAGCCTCAGCACTGGTTAGCAGTCAAATGTGTTTCAAGAACAGAGGGGAAGTGAAGGGAAGTAACGGAGGGGAAGGGAACCCGCTGGTGAAGGGTCTCTCTCTTCCACGTCCTCTCTTTTGCTTTCAAATAGAAGTTAAAATACATGAAAGTTTGAAGAAACATAAATATAAGACATTTTATCTCTTATAGAAGGGAATGAAAAAAGAAAGTATACTTGTATTATGTATGTATTATATTCCTGATAAAGAGCCAAATATTTTAATAATGTATCTTATTTAACTCTCATAGCTGTTCTCTTTTTCACTCTGGAGAGTCTTATCCAGCTCTGTGGTTCCGTTCGATCTTATTTTGTAAAAGACCTAAATTACATCTTTAGATCAAATTAGGCATTCCATATTTATGTCTTTATATGCTTAGTGCATAATGTCTCTCCAACATTCCGTTAATGCATCAAACTTGATTGACTGAAAAAGGGAGTTATCGGGGACTAATATTATTCCAATCACTCAGAGGTCTTCCTTGATTCATCATATAAAATTGTTTTTTATTGAAAATGCTGCTCAAATCTATTTTCTCCTTCAAATATTAGACCGTTTGCATTTACTCCCACCCATACAATGCATAAAATGTTGGTCTGTAGGATGGAAGTGTGAAGGCTGAAGATAGCCATGTCTAAACAAATTTGGAACATCACTCGTCAAAGTTGAATCAGTTTCTTTACTATCAGACTTTTCCAGTAATAAACACAGTGAAGGAAACCTTTTTTTTTAAAGATTTATTTTATTTTTATTGGAAAGTCAGATATACGGAAAGGTGGAGAGACAGATCTTCTGTCCACTAATTTATTCCCCAAGCGACCACAATGACCATAGCTGCGCCAATCCGAAACCAGAAACCTGGAGACTCTTCTGGGTCTCCCACAGGAGTGCAGTGTCCCAAGGCTTTGGGCCGTTCTCCACTGCTTTCCCAGGCCACAAGCAGGGAGCTGGATGGGAAGTGGAGCTGCCAGGATTAGAGCCAGCAAGGACTTTAGCTGCTAGGCTACCACGCCAGGCCCACAGTGAGAGAAATGTATGGTACAGTGTTGCAAAACTTAAATAACATATACCATCTCTAAGATTTTTTGACAACTGCCTGTTAAGTAATCTTTAAATCAACAATTTGGCTTGATAGTTTAATTAACAGTATCTGAAAGGTTTTGGCGATAAAATACACACATAATATGTACATTCAATTTACAGTTCAAATAGAGCCACATATATCGTTTATATACAACCTAATTCTCATGATGCTAGTTCACCAAGTGCATTACCTAAAAGCTTACAATATAAGGATTTTATTAATAAGTTAAAAGACACATGAGTTTACAGTTACTATTATTTTTCCTAGTCCAGTGAATAATGGTATCCCACTATATCATCTAGAGACCTCCCTTAAGACAACCGGGACAGGATGGTGCAAAATGCTGCTAACGTAATTCCAATCTTCTCACTGATCCAAGGCATCAAGTTCTCCCGCTTCCTCAGGAACTAAATAACTTTTTCACCTTTGTATTTGTTTTCGTCACAATTTAGCTCTTATTTGGCTTTCCAGTTTTTTCATATACTTTAGGCAAGCTATTCCTTAACCAAGTCATTTTTTTTACTGCTCACATGGTATTTTTCATAGTCTGACATGCACAAAGTAATTCAACAACACCTATTAAATGCCAGGCCCTGTGCCAAGACCAAGGGAGACATTGGTGGGTTTTGATAGGGTTTTTGTTGGAAATAGAAGAACGCTTACTCTCTCCAATTTTTTTCCTATGCATCAAATGTTTCTCTTATAAAACCTGCACTATTTACCCATGGAAATTCTCCTCAATCATTTGCAGCTGTTTGTAAATCCTTCTTGGTAAAGAAAACTAGAATACTTTTTTTCCTTTCCATTTCCACTTGATTTTTTCATCATTTTATATTATCTGCATCTAGTATTAGAGCTCCTTGTTGTCTGTTTATTACTGTCCTTCACAAAAAAGTTGATCATAGTAATTGCTGAAAAAAAATGTGTTTTGCTTGAAATACATATTGCTTCTTAAACACCTTTAGATGTTTTTGTCTTTCTAAAGCTTTAAGACAGATGGTGTTCAGGTGTAAAGTCCCATAGAATTTATGAAATATGGATTTTAGTATGGAATTTAAGTTTATGAGATTATCTTGGCAAAATTCAATTTTCCATGAAATTTTCATTTTAATACTTTGCTCATGAGAGAACATATGTCAGTTTAACAAATACCAGGACCTACATCTGTTAGTACGGTCATTTTTCCTCCTTCAGATGTTTTTATATTGCACACCTACTCTACTCACATAAGAAGGGCATGATAATTTCAACTAGTTTCATGTTAATGCCATTAAGTACACATTTTTAAATTCTTCTTTCACTTGGAAAAATCCATCTTTCAAGAGTCACACTGTATAGAAATTTTCAAGTGTAACAATAAGATCATAAATTTCCTATTAATGATTGCCTATCCCATCTTTTCCCCAGGCACTGAAAATGGGCCAATCAGGAGGAATCCAGCTGGAAATGTCGCCAGACCGATGGTGCAGCGTCTTCCCGAACCACAGGATGTCACTCAGTGCTTGGAAGTCGGCATATTTGACACACCTCCTTTTTACTCCAATTCCACAGATAGTTTCCGAAACACAGTGGAAGGCAAGTAAAAGAACTTTGTGCTTTGAATTCACCTAATCTGCTTTAGAGTAAATTGAAGCATTCAAAATCAGGTATCTTTCAAAAGACTCAGAATACCACGTTGAACCCATGATTTTCTGTCAATTGGAGTTTCCATTATGATTTAGTCCCAATTATCTGCTCAAAAAATTCTTATTAAAAATCCTTTCAAGTTATCCTAAGAGATACTATATTGGAACTAAGAGGTTGTAACTACTGCTCTCTAAACTCTGAAATATCTGAAATCTCTTTAAATCATATTTGAGAGCCAACTGGCCAATAATTATAATTATATGAAAGTCTAGCTTTGCAAATAATATTCAAGATAGTAAGAGATTCTTAAATTTCTATTTTCATTTAAAAACAACAACAGGTGGGCCTTGTGGCACAGTTGTTAAACTGCTGTTTGGGACAGCTACATACTGTATCAAGTGCCACCTTGAATCCTAACTGATCCACGTCTGTCCAGCTTCCTGTTAACATTAATAGAGGCCACAGTTAATATTCTCAAGAGGAACCCAGCCATTCAAACGAGAAGTTTTAGGGTCCTGATTTCCCCCTGGCCCAACTCTGATTTTAGGGAGCATTTGGAGGCAAAACAGTGGACAGAAAATCTTTTTCTCCTTAACTTTCTCTCTGCCTCTCTGCCTATGAATATAAACAAACATTTCTTAAAAGAGTAATAAAAAGGATGAATAATTAATTGATAACAGGAAAGTCTGGTATGATTTATTTATAGTAGATTTATGTATCAACTTCTAGTTTTATTTAAAGGTATATAAAATTGAAATTAGCATCTCCTGATAATGTAGTTTTCTTTACTTAATAATTTTAATGTAAGTGCTATAAGCCAAGAAAACTGAGCCCAAAAGAGATGAAGATACTCAGCCAGTTAGTTACATTTTGTATATGCAAATCATTCTTCACATATATTTAACTTTTTAAACGAGTTACAAGCATTATTGTAAGTGTTATTATAATATATTAGACATTACTTTCAATCTTCTTATAAGCATTGTTTTCAAAACTTACCTTTAATACAGAATTGCAAGCCAGATGCATCCTGTTCACCCACAATGGGAATATTTTTCTTCAGCCTATGATGTGAGACACATATCTGATCATTGTTCTTAATTATCTCCCCTGTGATTATCAAAATTTTATTTCTCAGCTGTTTATTTTCATTTTAATAAATAAATGAATACCCTGGATTGGACATAATCCAAAACATTAAGCACTGTATTTTGACAAAGTTAGTATCCACGAACTCAGACTATAAAATTATTTTCTAATATAATGTGCATAAGATAAATTATAGCTACTTGGCCTCAGCACACATCGTGTGGATTACGGCAGTCTTTAAATATTTTCTAACTCAAAATATAATGGAATAAGTACACAAGAAATTAATGAATGGTTAACCAAATGTAACTATTCAATGAATCTCAGATTGATAGAAAATGGGTTAACATTCCATTTTGTAATATGCTACTCTTCATGCTCTCTTACTGCTCATCCTTCAAGTCAATCAGGCACTTCACATCCAAGTCCTCTGCTTTTATTTGCACCTATCTTCATCTTCTCTTTAATATCTAGAGAATCCCACCAGTGTAAAACATATGAAAATATGTAAAATAGAGATGTATGTATTAAAAATATTTAAATCTGTAATTTGTTGTTGATGTTGTTGTTCTTGTTGTTATTGTGGCTTTTCTAACTCATATCAATTGTTGAACTTGTTTCATGGCTTCTCAATTATGGAAATGTATAGTGATGGAGTCCTGGGGTCTATCATATATGGATGTGGGGGTATAATGGAACATGTATCCCTGCTTCCAGATGAAAGATGGATTCCCGATGAAACTGTTGGACAATAGGATGCTGGACTGTCTGACATTGTCTGTACCAACAATGTTGGGGTACACTTAAATAAGGGACTGACAGAATTATGATTCCTTATGAAGGACTACACCATTGTAGTAAACTGGGGGAGAATCTGTCAGGGTGTGGGAGTTTGGGAGGGAATCCCAGCCTCTATGAAACTGTATCACAGAATTAAAAATTCAAAATAAAAATGTATCTTTAAAAAGAATTTAAGTCTTTTCACATTAAACTCCAGGGGTTCTAGAAAAGTTTAGAACTATTGTAACATACTTGCAAAACTAATCTTCCAAGAATAAACATGCTGACAATCATTCACATGAAGTGAGGTAGGAGACTAAAGTAACATCGGGCAGTTACAGTTCAGGACAATGGGCTTATGTTCTAATCGTGTGAGCAGTTTTCAGAAGAAAGTGGAGATGTCCACTGCCTTTACTTCCATGTAGAACAATGACTAACTTGTCAAAATGGAGTGTTCTGCATATTTTAACCAGCATCCCTTGCAGCTTATTATTCTTAAGCTAGGGTTTATATTTAGAATATCATGCACAAGCTTAAATCCACCCAAGCCCTGGGTAGAGCGAGCCAACATCATCAACTATCAGTTCATAGGTGTATTGTTATTTTAGTGAAGCAAAATTTGGTCTGACAAGCTTTAGGAAGGGAAAAAAAAAAAGAACAGTTTCACAACGTGATCACTGCTGTTAACTGGAGAAGTGAAATATTTGCAATGATTTTTATTATTCTCATGCTTACTTTCCATCTAGGTTACAGTGCTCCCACAGGAAAATATGATCCTGCTGTTCGGAGTCTTCACAATTTAGCCCATCTATTCCTGAATGGAACAGGGGGACAAACTCATTTGTCTCCAAATGATCCCATTTTTGTCCTGCTGCATACTTTCACGGATGCAGTCTTTGATGAATGGCTAAGGAGATACAATGCTGGTAAGGTGCTTTCAGATGCCTTTTGCCTGCTCAGCAAGGAGGCTTATTAATATGCTGCTATGATCAGTTCAGGCCAGGTGTTTGACAAGCACACAATACACTTGAAGATAAGGATATAATAGCCATAATATCTAGCCATTTTCAATATTCAAAACTATTTTGAAAAGGCAGACAAAGGCATCTCCGGATAGTTGCTGGGAGGCGACCTTTATTAGCATTCTCCGGCACTACACAGGCACGCCCTTCTTGTTTGTAATATTGAAAAATGACTAACACTTCCCAAATTTTTCTTCTCCGTATCTTTCAAAATTGCTGTCAATTGTTTTCATGTGAATAGGAAAATCACTGAGAGCTCTTCTTTGATCTCTCAAAAAACTCTTAATTCTATGCTCATAGTCCACGGTTCTGATTTTTATTACCCTTACAGCCTCTTACAAATGGAAGTTCAGCTCAACCTGAAAATTTAATGTTGGTTTTTATACCACACCATGGGAAAGCTCTTTCAAGTTCATTTCAATGTACTCTTTCAAACGTTATTTAAAAGGCTTCTTTAGCAGCATTCCTCTTCACCTCAGAGATTTACATGACATTTTAGAGAAAGTGACTTCACTCGTAACACATAATTAAGTTTTACACTTTTTAGATTCTGTGCCTTTAATTCATCTTATGCATAAACATGATATTGGAGGACAACTAGTAACTGACTCAAAGACCCAATTAGTCACTGGAGTCATTTTTCTCTGGGTGTGTATGTTAGTGTGCATACACAAAAGAAGAATCTTTAGTTCAACTTGATCAAGACATTTTGATGGATTGGTCCAAGTAATTTGCTCTGTCAGCAATCACTAAAAAATATTTACTCACAAGTATTTGTTCTACTGCAAATTGGTTATAAATTCACTAACTGGAGTTCCATCTCATTTTTCTTATATATTTGCATATATGGTTATAGACAGTTCTGCTGTTCGGTGATTAAATATAAATGCAGTCTCCTAACCCCTTTAGATGTATATATTTACACATAAATATATAAACATGCAAGTATACATGTTTATATAACCCACTTTTTATTCTATACAGCATTTCTTTCATTCTTTGGCAAATCTTTTCAAAGTATTATTCAATATAAAAAGGACAACCCCTTCATTTTTATAATCACAGTTATCCCTCACTGTACATTTGTAAATGATATTTTGGCCAGTTATATATCCACCTTTTGTTTTGGCTTTGAAAAACAAATTTAAATTTTTAATCAAATTATTCTCTATAATCTTAAAATAAAATATGTGATAGTTTTCGTAGATGATAAATATTCAGGTTTCCTGCTTTGAAACTTTTTTCAATTAAATCTTATGTCTGTGCTTTATTCAAAACATTCAAATTATTTCATGTAATTTTGTATTCTGCTTTATGTACTTCATTCTGTTATTCTGTGAAAAACATGAAGAATGTCATTTCATGTTATCCTTCCATACCGAATGACTTCAGAACATAATAGTGACACTAATACTGTTATATTGACTAACAAGTTGTCTTTGGAATATTTTAGATATATCCACTTTTCCATTGGAAAATGCCCCTATTGGACATAATAGACAATACAATATGGTGCCATTTTGGCCTCCAGTTACTAACATAGAAATGTTTGTTACTGCTCCAGACAACCTTGGATATGCTTATGAAGTTCAATGGCCAGGTAAGAATGGTAATGTGTTTTTATTGTGCTAATTGCCAAAGACAAATTATTTGCAAAGTAAAGTAACCTTAGTATGCTAAGGGATGTAGAGCTGTAAGCTGAGTTCACATTGGGGACACAGAAAGGTTCTTTACTATTTCTTGAGTACTCACTCTGGCCTGAAGTGTATTGAACTCATATAATTTGATCTTGACAGTCCTTTGAGGTCAATCCTCTAAGTCTTATCTTACAAAAAACAAAGGTACAGCTTTGAGTGGTTAATTATCAAAGGTCATATTTCCAAAGAGAACAAGGTAATTTTGAGCTTAGTTCCAAATCATAAGCCCCCATTTATCTACTATAGCATATCATCTCCATCTCCATTTATTTGTCCAAAAAGAAGTAAGATTTCTTTCAGAAACTTTTTTGAGAATTTAAAATATATAACTTTCTTGCTTACCTTTAAATGTCTTTTACAACAAAGACAGTAGAACACAGCATAAATGTAGAGCATTTGTCTTCTGATCAACTGTACGATCTTACCAAGGGATGTTGTACTAGTGACTCCAGTTTTTTGAGCCATCATTTCCTCACCTTCAGAATGAATCCATTCTTCACCTTCCCAATTGAGTCAAATCCTTAAAAAAAAGTAACTTTGAAATTGCAAAGTGCTTTGTTAGTGAATGTAGCTAACAAAAATGAAGCTTGAGAATTTTTGTTCAAGCATTTACAACAGTGTGTAAATAAGGATGCTGAATTTCTGATTTTCTTTTCAAATAGGTCAATCTTTTAGCATACCTGAGATTATTACCATAGCAGTGGTTGCTGCCTTATTGCTGATTGCAGTCATTTTTGTGGGTGCTTCCTGTGTGATTCGTGCCAGAAACAAAATGGATGAAGCTAATCAACCTCTCCTCACGGATCAGTATCAACACTATACTGGAGATTATGAAAAAATCCAGAATCCTAATCAGTCTGCGGTCTGACGACAAGTGACCTACTTACTCTCATACATTAGCACGAACTCTCCTGATTACATTACTAACTGTATCTTCTGTCACTTTTAAACTTCTTCCTCATACATGCATATGTTGAAAATAAAGTTCCAGACATTATTTTCCAGAGCTCAAAAGAGCCCTATAAAATCATTTCAATGAGTCTTATTTAAGACAGCCTCTTGTTCCATCTTCTGTCCTTTCATGGTTAGGGTTCTGAGTCCGGCATTTCAACTGGGGAGATCCCCAAAGAAACTTCGTCTGAGCTATTCCCAAACCAGATTCTTGTATGCACCAGCAAGTACAGGGCCCACACGGTCCATCGCCCCAATCAGCTGGTGGTTGCAATTGCTGGATTGGTTCTGTTCTCCTTGGGTAAGATTATTATTTCCATATTGTTTCCTTCATGTATCTGAGGTAAAGGGGGATATTGAGGGAAAAGCCCCACCTGGTTTCCCACCCACCCCAAGTCCCGCATGTAGGGCATGCTCTAAGATACTCACTCAAGTGGTTTTGATAGTTCACCAGTTATCAGTTGCTGCCAATCTCGCCTCTCCAAACACGATGAGGTCATTGAAAAATCCACTGATTGACATTGTCCATCATAGAGTCTCTATTTGCCCGATATTTTGTTGCCAACCTATAGCTGAGGTTGTTGATTAACTTGTTCTACTTTCCTGTAGCCCTTGAACCTTTTTACCAAAATTAACTATGTAAAGATTGTCAAAATAAAAGTGAAAATTAAAAAAATAAAATAAAATAAAATGGCCTATTGCATGTACTCCATGATATTTAAACACAAAGTGTAATGATCTTCCGTGTATTTAAAACTTGACAACGTGAAGAAAATAGGATCTATCCCTTAACTGTAAGAGAAAATAATTTTTGGTACTAAATCTCCCTTTAATCACAAAAGTGAATATTCCTACAGATTTTAAAATACAGATACATTTGCATTCATTGATATTGATAGGCAGTGACATTTGTTAAACCATGTGGAGTTGCAAATATTATCTCAATTCAATTTTTTTCTTCAATCCATATTCCCTTTTTGGGCATCAGTATATGCAATTTAACATGAAATTTAAGACAACAGCAAACTCGCGAGGTTTTGTCATACTTTAGCAAAATAAATGCTGTGTTGTGTGAAAACTATGTTTGCCCTGATGTTCCTCTACCTGTCAGTTCACTGGGGAAAAAAATAGCCCATCCATACACTTCATTACCTAATGTCCATCAAGTATCTTAAAAATACACAAAAGAGTAACTGTGGTCACAGTGGCCTATTCTAATCGCTTTGTATTTGTCATACACCACCATTTTAGGCATGGTTATTTATACAGATTATTTGAAAGGTGATGAGATCACATACACATGTGGGCCAGGCTCAGGAATGGGATGGGTAGGGAAGAACAAAGACAGGAGAGAGAGAACTGGTTCTGCTTCCCATCCTGTTCTACAGGAAGAGTGTGCTTCAGCACTGCCACTGGACACATGTGCTTGGGAAAGGGACAGTCTGCCTGATATCACTCCTAGGACCCCAGAGAAGCAAGGAGCATTCTGGTGTCATTTGGTTGACAAATAGTGAATGGGATTTACATAGAGCAGGGAAGGTGTATTTTCCAACTGTGATCCTAGGCTGGCTGCTTAGCCATTCCATTTCATTACCTCCTCTAAGATTTGCCACCCCCAGTATATTGGTTACTGAAGTGTGTGGATTCATCACAACTCCTGTGATTAGTTCCTGCTGATTAAGGGCATGGGCCTTGTCAGTTACAAGTCTGGAAATCCATATTTTATCTAATAGCTCTTTCATAGAATCTGGACAATTTCCTTTCAGTTACCAACAGCTATGTCAACAGTCCTGAGAAGTTGCTGGTGTCATTGGACAAGATGTGTCAGATTCCATCTATCCCCGAACAGCTTCCTCATTGTTCTCTAAGTGTATATTCCAAGGTCTGACAACTGTTCATGAGTACCTCACCCAAAGGATCCACAGACATGGGCACCTGCTATGTAACCTGGCATGAGGAGCTTAACATTTTTGTTTCTGCCATTTGAAGAGGTGCTGGAAGTCTTTGGTTGGATTAGAGAAACTGTCTTTTTATGTATGTATGTTTGTATTATGTATGTATGTATTGGAAAAGCAGATTAACAGAGAGAAGAAGAGACAGAGAAAGATCTTCCATCTGCTGGTTCACTCCCCAAGTGGCTGCAATGGCCGGAGCTGAGCCAGGTGCTTCTTTGGGTCTCCCACACAGTCGCAGGGTCCCAAGTCTTTGGGCCATCCTCCACTGCTTTCCCAGGCCACAAGCAGGGAGCCGGATGGGAAGTGGAGCAACCAAGACACGAAGTACCAACCATATAGGATTCTAGCACATGCAAAGCAAGGATTTAGTCATTAAGCCATTGTGCCCGACCCCAGGATAGTCGGTCTTTTCATGTGCACTTGGGTATGTTCTTCATTTTGCATAATACCAATGGGTTCTGGCCCTGAGAGGAAAGCTATTGACATACCTGAGGTCAAAGTAAATTACAAGCACAGACTGCTTGCCAAAGCCAAAAAGCAATATGAGCTCCACTTAGCAGTGGGCGGGGTATGCTCCCATTCCCAAGTGTCTGTACTGGTGGATGCAGTAGTCTGGCAGGGTAGGGATTCTTAAGGCCACCCTTGTCTGGCCTGTGCTCAGTTCTGGCTCTCATGCAAGCAGGTGGCTTCAGAGGCCTGTCCCTGGGAGCCCTGTGGTGGTAATTTCTTGGGCTCCCCTTGCCAGGCCCATCCCATCTCACATGCCCTGACAGATGCAGCAGCCTGGCCCAGGAATGCATATTGCCTTTAATGGCCCCTCACTGGTCTGCCACCATCAGAGTGTATGGCTCCTGAGGCAGCAGAGCCACACTGATCCCAAATACTTCTGAGATCCTCCCCAGAATGCAACTGTACACTGCTCAAGCCCAACTTCCAACCACTGTGTACAATGTAAATAGTGTATGCTTTGTCATTTCAAAATGAAATGTAGAGCCTGGCATGGTGGCCTAGCAGCTAAAGTCCTCGCCTTGAAAGCAGCAGTATCCCATATGGACACCAGTTCTAATCCCAGAAGCTCCACTTCCCATCCAGCTCCCTGCCTGTGGCCTGGGAAAGCAGTTGAGGACGGCCCAAAGCCTTGGGACCCTGCACCTGTTGCTGCCAGTTAAAGGATGAGTTAATGGACAGAAGATCTTTCTCTCTGTCTCTCCTTCTCTGTATACATCTTTCCCAATAAAAAAAAAATAAGTCTTTGAAAAAAATAAACAACATAATATTCATAAGAAGAAATACATAGGCCACTCAAAAATGAACATATATTTAATTAAATTTGTTATAATAAATGACATACATTACTGAAAATGATCCATTTAATAGTCCAGATTCAGTAAACAGTAATGATATGAAAATTATATAAAACTGAGTGATTATTGGATTTCCCCATATAAAAAATCAAAAAAGAAAGACAAGACACACAAAATAAACATTAAAATAAGTTAAAATCCTCAGATAGCATTGCTCAAATGTTCTCTTGGAGTACATTTTAAAATAACAAAGATTCAGCTATCATATATTCTGAGAAATTGTTGTGTTATATAAGATTTGCTTACATATAGGAAATGAGGAGAATGAATAATTTAAAAATCTACTTATTTTTCATTTCAGACATACTTATTAACAAATACAAAATTTCAGAGATAATTCAACTTACTGAAGACTTCTGGAGGAGAAAGAATTGTAAAATTGAGAAGGTCGCATTTAAGTGGGCCTCCGAGAATGCCAATGGATTTACCAAGTGTAAAAATAGAAAAGGGCATCCTATTCAGAAGCGACAGTATATGCAAAGGCACAGAAGTTGGAAAGAGCACGGAGCATTCAAAAATATAAAGTAGGTCAGTGTGCTTAGAACATAGTACTCATGGGGGAAGCACAGAGATAAATTGGGAATAAAATCGACGTGTCCTATATGCAATGCTGAAGACGTTGGAGTTCATATAGCAGGAAAGAGGAACCGATGAAAGTCATACAACAATTGCACTTTAGAAAGCAAATCACTGAAGTGTTATTTGTAAATACGGTTAATACGGAATCGCTTATGGGAGTGAGGAGTGCCTGTCCCAAATATATAAACATTACTCAGCAGTGAGAAACAATGAAATCTTGTCTTTCACAATAAAACAGATCTAACTGGCAGCCATTATGTCTAGTGAAACAAGCGAGTGCCAAAAATACAAGTATCATACTACTTTTTTTCTGATATGTGATGGTTAATGTAAAATTCAAAGAGTGTAACAATGAGGCTGACGTCTTGCCAGTTTATGGCTGTTTGCACCCTTGTGCCCGTCATGACTCCTGCGGAACAGCCATCTATTTCTTACTGGTGATGCATTAAGCAAAGGATTACAAAGCTACAAATACGTTACTGCAAAAATGAAACGAAATTAAGAATTGAAGGTAAAACAGTGACTGAGGAGGGAGGGAGGGCGACAGCATGACAGAGAGAAAGGGAAAGTGGCTATTGCCTGAGGGTTGGTTCTACCAGATCTATTCTCTCTTTTAATACAAACATATGTATATATAAACATTATTTCAAAGTAATCTTAGTAGAGAAAGTTGCATCTATTACCTTTGAATGATAGGTCTGAGAAAATACTTTCTAAATTGGATTCAAACAACAAAGGAGTACAGGAAAAGAAAGAAGCAGAGCAGCAAAGCAGAGAAAGCCATGTTGATTAGTAATTATTTCATGTGAATGATAGTGTCATAGTTAAAGTCCTCGCCTTGAAAGCGCTGAAATCCCATATGGGTGCCTGTTCTAGTCTTGGCTGCTCCACTTCCCATCCAGCTCCCTGCCTGTGGCCTGGGAAAGCAGTCCAGGACGGCCCAAAGCTTTGGAACCCTGCACCATGTGGGAGACCTGGAGGAAGTTCCTGGCTCCTGGCTTCGGATCAGCGCAGCACCGGCCGTTGCTGCCGCTTGGGGAGTGAATCATCAGATGGAAGATCTTCCTCTCTGTCTCTTCCTCCTCTCTGTCTTTCCAAAAAATTAATTAATTAATTAATTAGTTAAAAATCACAGAGTGGCTGAACAGGTTAAAAAAAATAAATTAATAA